TTACTGTAACCCTTTCCACCATCAACTTGTCAATAGTGTAAAATCTTTTATGGGCTGTAGCCATCCTGTGAAAATACTTGGTATTTTTGTCTCCGTGTTTGAGCCAATGTACTCTAGACCTCTGCCTCCAAGCTATTTCCTCGTTTTTTGCAACATCTTCAAACTCCATTGAAAGATATAATTTCTGAAGTAACTCATCCTCTGATAGTAATCTCAACTCTTGAGTCTTTTCTAAAATTGACAGCTGATTTAGAATTGCCTCTTTCCTTTGATTCCAATTGTTCCTATTCTCCAGCTTCCATTCTTTTAGCATCCTCAACTTGGAGGCTAGGACATAAGAGCCCGTACCAGTGATATTGAAAGATGCCCACCTTTCTTTAACTTTGCCTGAGAAACCCTCCACCCTTAACCACCATTGTCAAACTTGAAGTAAGACTTCTTCAAATTTAAATCTCCACATTGAAGCATAATTGGATTGTGGTTTGAACCTATTTTGGGAAGCATGTTCTGTTTAATCCATGTGAAGGTCTCATCCCATTGGGAAGAAAATAAGAACCTATCAATTCTGGAGGCTGACATGTGGTTGTCCCCCTTTCTCCATGTGAAGGACACCCCAAATAAAGAAGGATCGATGAACTCCATCTCATTGATCCATTCAGAAAATTCAGTCATTGGCGTAGTAATTCTATGTCCTTCTGATCTTTCGTTTGGATATCTTGTGTCATTAAAATCTCCACAAGCTACCCAAGGCCCACTACACAGTTCTTTGATGTTGATGAAGGCTTGCCAAAGTTCTCTTCTAATTATTGGGTCACAAGAAGCATACACAGCTGAAAGAAACCAAGTGAATGCCTGATTAATGCCTTCAAACTTGCAGGTTACCATTTGGTTTGCTGCTGTCACTAGCTCTCCTTTCCACACCCTCTTATCCACATTACTACGATACCACCACTTCTGGCTATAACATCCAAGTGAAATTCCCCCATCCATCTATTTTGCCATAATTGTTTGAATACATTCACCTCTGATCCTCTCAATTTTGTCTCAACCAGAACGTAAATATCAACCCCCCAATGTTGAAATAATATTCTGACTATCCCCCTTTTTTCTTCACCATTTACCCCCCTTACATTCCAAGAAAGGATTTTGACTTTCATTGGAGATTTGTGTTTGTTATTCTCCTCCTGTTTCTTGATTCCCCTTCTTTAAACTTAACATGGAATTCCAAATTTCTTATCTCCTTTGGGGTTGTGTGTTCTTTGCTTTGATTGGTGTTGTCTCCACCTTCTTCTGCCTCAATTTCCCCCTCTTTTGATCAATTCTCAGAAAAAGATCAAAAGCCACCTTATCACATCCTTCAAAAGCAACCCCAAAAAGTTGGCTAAGCTTAAGTACACTGGATTGTACCCAGAGTGAGGCTTTGTCTTCAATTTTTTTGTTCTGAGAGAATATCATTAATTTGAAAAGGAAGAGGATGAATGTGAATGATTAATAAGAAGGCTCAGGAAAGTAGTGGTGGGATCCTAATTCTTTGGGATAAAAGAATTTGGAATGAAGAATTGGTGGTCAATGGCAACCATGCACTGGTAGGTTCTGAAGTGCCAGTGATAACTGGAACCGACATCTAAGTGCAATATATGCAGATTGTAATAGAATGGCCATAAGAATTCTGTGGCAAGAATTGTTAGACATGAAAAACAATTTCAAATGGGCCATGGATTAAGTCGGTAGGTATCCTTCAGGGAGAACTAACTAACACAAGTTGTGCTATGACAAAATTTTCTGACTGCATAGAGGAACTAGAGCTGGTGGATCCTCCTTTATTTGGAGGATATTTTATATGGAAGAAGAGGGGAGTATGGATGTGCATCCAGAATTGACAGGTTTCTACACTCTGCTGAATTGGGTGGGGGGAGCTTTTCCCAAATTGAATTCTGATCACAATCGTATCTTATTGTCCTGTGGAAACTGGGAGTGAAAGAAGTCTTATATCAAATTTGAGACTTGGTGGCTGGAAGTAGTTGTTTTTCAGGACAAGGTCAGAGGATGGTGGGAATCCTTTTTTGTGAATATCAGACTAGGACATGTATTAGCTAAAAAGCTGAAAATGCTTAAAGCAAAATTGGAGTGGAATAAAAACAATAGGGGAAATTGGAGACAAAGGAAGGAGGAAATATAAGAATGCCTTAACATGTGAAGGCTCCTGGGCCAAATGGGTTCCCAATGATGTTCTTCCAATCTTTTTGGGGTATCTGAAGGAAGACATCATTAATAGTGTTCACTATTTTCACTCCAACCAAGCCTTTGCCAAAAAATTCACTGCAAGCTTCATTGCCCTGATTCCAAAGAAACCAGGTGCTACAGACTTGAAGGACTTCAACCCAATTTCTCTGGTTGGTGGGAATTGGGATGTACAAAATCATTGCTAGACTGTTAGCGAAGAGGCTTAAAAAAATGGTGAACAAGCTGGTCAAAAGCACCGTATGACTTTTATAAAAGGGAGATAGATCATGGATGTAACTCTTATAGTCAGTGAGTGTATAGACTCAAGAAGGAAAGGTGGAGTCCCAGGATAATGTGCAAGCTGGATATCCAAAAGCCTATGGTCATGTGAAATTGGACCTATTTATTGAATACTCTCAGACAAATGGAGTTTGGGAGTGGGGGTTGAAATTGATTGAATACTGTATCAAAACAGTCAAGTTCTCTGTTATGGTGAATGGGGAACCAATGGGTGTTTTTCATCAGAAAGGGGCTGAGACAAGGTAATCCTTTCCCCCCTTTTCTATTCATCCTGGCTATGGAGGGTTCTGATAGCATGATGAGAATTGCAACTCAAAAGAGGTGGATCAGGGGCATTCAGATCAGTGACAGAGTGGGGGAGGAAAAGGAGATATGTTCTATGCTTTATGCAGATGACACCATCGTCTTCTCAGAGCCAGTAGCTGAACATATCAAATATATCAGAGTAATCCTGGTCCTCTTTGAAGCTATAGTAGGTTTGAGAGTTAACTGGGGAAGAGCAAACTATTCCCAATCAAGGAGGTCCCAAGATTCCAGAGTTGGCAAAACATTTTGGGATGCAAAATAGAACAGTTGCCTACAACCTATCTTGGAATGCCTCTGGGTACTAAACATAAGGTATTGGAAATCTGGGATGGGATCGTTGAGAAAACGAAGAGGAAGTTAGCTAATGGGAAGGCCCAATACCTGTCTCTAGGAGGGAGTTAGCTAATGGGAAGGCCCAATACCTTTCTTTGCCCATTCTTGTGATGTCCCTATTCCTACTTCCAGCAGAAGTGGTGAAAAATCTTGACAGGCTGAGGAGAAAATTTCTATGGCAAGGAAATAAAGAAGGGATGGGGTACTGCTTGGTAAACTGGAAAACAATGTTCTTAGCAAGAAAAGAGGGGGCTTGTAAATCAGAAATCTGAACCTACAGAATGAAAGCTTGCTAATTAAGTGGTTGTGGAGATACACTTGTGAGGAAAGAGCCTTGTGGAAGGAAGTCATAGTGACTGACTATGGTTAACTCAGTCCCTGGTGTACAAAAACTGTCTCTCATTCTTATGGAATGGGGGTTTGGAGGACTATCAAGAACCTATGGCCAGTATTGGAAGCAAATATGTGTCTCAAGGTGTGAAATGGTACTAAGACAATTTTTGAAGGATGGGTGAATTGATCTAAGTCCTCTTAAGGAGGTCTTCCCCAGACTTGCACCTAATTTGTGTGAATCGTGAGGTAACTTTTTCTGATTGCTGGACAACACAGGTATGGGACATCTGTTTCAGAAGATTACTAAATGATTGGGAGGTAGAATGAGTGGCTCTTGGTTGGTTACTAAGAGGGTATGACTAACTCAAGAAGTGTTGCAGAGAAAAGGAAGACAGCTTGTTCCCCGGTGTTTTCTATATAATATGACATGGGAAACAAACAAACACCTATATTTGTATTGCAAGTTTACTACCCAGCTATGGAACCTCTTCCTCATCAATACATGCACTAGTAAGATCATGCCAGAGCATACATCAGACCTTCTGAGCTGCTGGGTTAGGAGGGGTGGAAGCAAGAACCAGAAGAGGTAGTGGAGATTAATCCTATCATGTATGTGGTGGTCAATATGGAGAGAGAGGAATGACAGATGTTTTGAAGACATGTCCAATTCCATTCATAAAGTAAAATGAATTGTATTTTATCTTTGCTCTTTTGGTGTAAACAGTTGTGTATAGAATATACTGCTCAAATTATAGATTTATTAGGAAGTTTATAATTGCTTTTTTTTTGGAGGTGGCCAGCATACCCTTAATGCTGGAGACTACAACCTTACCAGTTTGAAAAAAAGAGATCATAGAATTAATGTGGATAGATAGACTTTCTTGGTTATTGTAACTCGAGCATAAGAATAAAACAAGTTCATCTTTTGCTGACATAATCAGAAGAAAGTATCTTAATCTTACAAAGTGGTGATATCATTTCACCGCGCTTTACCTGATTCCTAATATCATGAAATGAATGAATGCAACCAGTTCCAAGCTATGACATTTGGTGCAGAGATTGCACAAATACATGGTAAAGTTCTGCACTCACTGTGTATTAGTTTACCATTTCTATTTGAATATTTGAGGAATTGAGGTCATGGAAAACAGAAAGATGTTGGAGATAAATAGAATGCTATAATGCTAGCATCCTGGTGTTTATCCCATTATCCCATCAAAAATTTTGAGTAGATTTTGTTCGTTCAACTTGAGAAACGTGACAACTAATTGTGTCATAATTGAGCATTTCTGTCTAGGCAACGGACTTGTTGATGCATCAGTTACCAAGGTCCAGTGTAGGAAATAAAAGTATTACTGATACTGGGGATGCCCATACTGGTGTTTTCTTGTTAACTCTTATCATTTTCTCTATTGTTTGTATACTACATGGTTCTTTTTTTATATGTTTGTAATATACTCTTTGATGGAGCTTCACTTTATATGTTCTTATAATATAATATGCAGGACTCCGCAATCATTGGTTGCTGGCTTAATGTGGCTTGGAGTCAAGAATGAGAGGTATTTCATGCGTCATGTATGCCAAGATTCAGATGAGTTGAAACAATATGGCTGGACTAGTCATAATGGACGGGATTATGGACATCAGGTTCTGAGTGAACAGACAATGACCTTGACTACTAGTTTTCTGAAATCCAAGGATCATGGTAGTGGCTATGGTGGAGACTGGGCTGTTCGAATTGGAGTGCAGAGCGATGAGTATTTCTCCTTACCATCTCTCATGATCTTCCTTTCTTTAGCCTGACATGCAAATACTTGGCTCTTGTGGACGTCGTGCCTGTCAAAGTAGAAATTTGTTTACAATCAGGTTCTCTAGTAAGGAAATAGCACGTTGCTTCGGCTTATGCAAAGCTTAGTCATTTGCTGCAGATTTCATCTGTTTTCTGCAATTAATGATATATAGGTGTCATTGGTTGATTGAATGATGACCTAGGCAATCAACAAAATGAGTTTGTCTTTATTTCATCAACTCCTTTCTTATTTGCTATCATGTTGTGAATGTGTCTACAGTCCATTATGCATTATGTGGACTATTTGGTTGGAGAGGAACAGATGTTAAAAGGGAAGAATATCATATTTCTTTTGTAAAGAATAGGTGTTTACATAATTTATACTTTTGGTTTAGGTTTGTCTGGACGGTAAATTTTTTTGTACTTTGGGTGTAGGGGTTATAACGTAGAAAATGTGAATCACTTTCTGAATTTTTTGGAAAACATGAGGATGTTGTGGAGAAACTGTAATGTTCAGGTAGATTGTACTCCACACAGTACCATCTTGGTTCTGATTTTAATAAAATTTACTTTATCTAGCAAAAAAAAAGGTATTTCTTGGAAGATATATCTGTATATTTTGGTCAAGAAGAGAAAGCTTCTTTATACTTTTACATCCCATAAAACAAGAGCATTTATACAAAGAATGCTATGACTATAATAGGAAAGACAGTGAATTACAGCTAATTAATAAAATCAATCTTCTCCTACAATTAGGCAAGAGTAAAATCTTCTAGAATCATGCCTTTTAAATTATGCTAATCAACAATATGTAAGATCATTTCAAGTTGAATAATAAATTTCATGTGTGATGGCATATCTTAACTTAAAGTGCGCGTACAACACATTAGAAAAATGTGTGGTAAAATTGCTGAATGAGATTAGAGTGCCTAGACTCTTGAAAATTTGGTTGCCTCTTGCATCTTTAAAGCAGTGGGATCAGTGATTGTGGCTGTTGGTTATTTTTTCACAGATGATCATCATTAACTTAACTAGGGTATTGTGTTCTCTTATTAAAAGTCTCTACTGCATTTACTTCACAAGTTAATTTTAGTATTGCGACCACTTTAAGCATGAATGATATTCTTTTCTGAAAAGCTGTATTTCCAACTGAAATCTTATGATAGTTATGAATTTGTGTCTCCATCTCATGTGTTTTATCCCTTAAACAATTGACACTCAAATTTCTTCACAGATCTGTCCCTGATGAAGAAATGTTAAAAACCGCACACTTGTTTTTTTATGTGGCTGATGAAGGCGGGAAAAGTCTTACTTTGGGTAGCAGAGTCTTCGATATTCATGGTGATTCTATTTTGGCGTCAGGATCACGTAGTGACATTGGAGACTGGCAGCTTCACTTATTTTCAGAGGTAATTTGCTGACTGATTTTCAATTGCAATTGAAAAGTCAACTATTTCAGTGATCTTCAATCAGCTGTGATTATGCATCTATTCATATGGTTCTTTGACCTTTTAACTATTGCCTTATACCAGTTTCAAAAAAACTATTGTCTTATACATGTCTTCTGAAGATGTGAAGCTCTTCAGAGACAAGGCTTGGGCTAAAATCTCTCTTCTGATTTTTGTAGGCTTATTATTTTAAGAGGATACTGATCTATTTAAAAAATTGTTTTTAGCGGCACTGAATATTTGAAGTGACAATGCTACATTGAGCGACCTTTCTCTTTTCTTTTCCTTTTTTTGTGTTCTTATTGGAGGGTTCCATGTCCTTCATTTCTGTTGCTTTGTGAGGATAGCTAAGTAGGTGCCTAGGAGGTCTTTTGTGGTCCTCGGGTAAGGTTAGGCACTCAATAATCACGCTTTCCAATTGTTTGTCACGTACAACTTTTGGAGGTATGTTGCTCTGGTTAAGTTTCTGGTTAGATGCTAATGGATTCATTACAAAATATATATCGAGGGCAATTCTTTGGTTCACATGAAGATGAACCCAGGAAAATGTTGCTTTAGCATGAACATAACCCTCCAGATAATTGAGCTGGAGAAAAGTTTGTGAAAAGTACCTGTTCAAGCCAAAACCGACTTGGCTCTTGCGTGTTGAACTATAAGGATGATGGTTAATGTAAGGATATAGCTTGGTAGCGAAATAAAAGAGTGCAACAAGGAGGGGGAATGACTAAGAGTACAAGGTGTATTACAAAATTTTTGGAAGGAGGTAAAAGTCGAGAAATGCTAACCTGTCATGCTTTGCATTTCCAGTCTTTCTAAAATTAGATGAGTTGGAAATAAAAAAAAAGAACCTCAGTCATTTTTACCTTATATACTAGTTTTAGTAGGGTAGTTAGAATATTAGTTTCCATGTTTCTAGAGGAAAGGATGCCAGGAAACAAGACAGTGGGGTCTGATAAAGGAAGGTGGAAATGGTGGAATGCTGAACCAGCTTGTATATGGTGAAAAATTTGGAAGAAAAAAATGAGGAACTTGAGGTGTTTGAAAGGCAAATATAGTTCCATTCAGAAGATATAGGCTAACAACACTTTTTGGTTCTATCTTTGGTGCAAAATTGAACTTGTAGATGCAGTGCTCTGTTTTAGAGCTTCTAGTATCCATACATATTTAGGAAGGGACATAATCTTTTTATTTTATTTTGTTCTTCACAGAGTTTCCACAACACTCAGTGTTGCTTTGGATACAACCATTCACATTTCAAAGAAAAATTTCTATAGGGAAGGATGTAATCTCTCAGGTCTAGATATGCCTTTTCTTCTACCAAATTTCAGTCAACCACGAAGAGAGCTTTGCAAAGGGAAGAAATTTGTCAAACTTGAGATAGCATGCTGGCTTTGAGGTTGCTTTATACCAAAGTGAGGTTGATGACGATGACTTAGTTGCATCTTTAACACCTTATACATATGTATGCACTGCTTTCATCAGTAAATTATACTAACAATAAACTCCATATAAGGCAAGGAATTGTTAGTGTTTAAAGATTCTTTTTAAGAAGCTTGTGTTTTGGTCATTCAAAGCATTTGATAAAAAGCTCCATTTAACTAATATTTCTGCCTTCTTTTCAAAAGATAGGTATGAATAAATGTTATTTCTATAGGAGAACTGATCCCTTCTGCTCTGAGATGTTGTAATTATATGGGAGAAACCTTGATTATGTTGTTATCACTTTCTTTCATGAAGACTGCATGGCTGAGATCCCTCTATTATAATGTTGTTTTCCTGTAGTTTATTGCTAATTCTAGAAGATTGCTTTGACATCATTTTGACATTCTTTTGAATTGCAAATCTGTACTTCATATTTTAACAGTACAAGAACTGAAATGGTAGTTCTGCATTGTACTCTATGACCCTCTTTTTAATGTTTCAACAGGTGCTCTTATTGTTTAGCATTTATCTGCGGTTAGATTTTTATTTGAAGAACTTCTTGTAGGATGTATCTGGAGTACATTATTCTGGTTTCAAGACACCTCACATTCACAATCTCTCTGATCTAGTCCAGGCAAATTTGGCAGTCCAAGTACGCATACTACTCATATTTGTAGCTACATTGTTGGAAGTTATGTCAAATCTTACAGTTTGCCTTCTACCTTAGTAGTTGGCCACTTAGTCTGTTGCTTGCTTTTCGTCCATGTTTTGTTAGGCAAGACAATTTGGCCATTTACAGCTTTCGGACTCATCTGATGATTCTCCCAACATTTTAGTATTTCAGGTACGTTCTCAGTCAATTATCGCTATCTTCACTACTGCTGATCTATATATTGTTAAGTAGGTTTTCTTTTTAATCCAGATTTCTGCTAGGATTCCTTTCAAAGCAGACATTGTTTTTCTTTCTGGAACCAGTACTCGTGATTCAAGAGTTGAAGAACGGGCCAGCAGGCTGACAGGTTTATGCTGAGTTCATTAGAGTATGATTGACATAAAAAGGAAATCTTTAGATTTTTTGTTGATAAGTGGAAATTTTTAGATTCTTTTTGTTAATAAGTGGAAATCTTTAAAAAGAAATTCTGGAATTATTCTGACTTCAACATGTATCTAATCAGGAAAGTAGAAAAAGAGATGGAGGTCAAAGGGGATTAAAGATGATCCATTTGTTTGTCATAGGTAATTGAATGTAATGTTGCCTGCAGTCTAGTAGAAAAGAGATTTGTAATTGTTCGCCGGAGATGGAGAAGCAGGGATGACAAAGGACCAATGGGCGTAAGCCGTATATAGAAAGAGCTAGGGCAAACAGCTGTGTTATAGAGGAGAACAAGCACGTGAACACCTCTGAGGAAGTTTTTTTTTTAAAATTGTGCAGCTACCAAGGGTCCAGAGACACGTGTCTTGGAGTGGGGGGCCACTTAAGCAAAATTTGGGCCCTGATTTAGGCTAACAGGCAATCATCAGTTAAAGAGCAAAGGAGCCACCTTTTAAAACAGGCCCAATTTTACTTACTGAGGCTCATCTCCTTATATCAAACCAGTTTATATTTTTAGCAACATGCAAATAGTTCCAATGCTGGTAGAGTTCAAAGCAAATTGTCTAGATGTGGGTTTTTCAATAGTAATTCTGGGGACTTGCTGACTCAAAATTCAGAAGAGAACCAAGCACAAAAATTGTATGACAAGGTGAACCAAAAAGAATCAGATGATTACATAGATGCAATGACAAATATAGAAGGGGTTGGAACACTGATTCATAGTAATAAAGACAAAAAGCCATGCAATTAATTGAGTCATCTGAAGCTGCTGCACGGGTTGTCAAGGATGCTGAAGCATTAAATTTTCAGCATCAAGATGAAGATTTTGATGGGGAGATGGATGCATCATTAAGGGTTCATCAAAACATAATCAAATTAAGGAAGCACGTTGGGATTGAATTTCAGGGATGCGAAAAAGAGACTGACACTTTTCAAGAAGATTGACAGTATCTATTATGTAGGAACCTGAGCCAGGGGTTACGACAATTCCTAAAATAAAAGGCTTAAAAGAGTTGAAAGGCCTGGTACTGGACATGAAGTCCCAGAGTACAGGGGCAAGAATCAGGGGAAAGAAACTTCAACTGGAATGATGAATGTCAAAATAATATCCTGGAATGTGAGGGGGTTAAATTGTAGGGAAAAGAGAGGGTGATAAATTGTTTAATTGAAAAATGGATAGCAGATGTCTTCTGTTTCCAGGAAACAATGGGGAGATAACCAAGCAGTTGTGGGGGAACAAGGGAGCTAGGTATGTGCAATTGGATGCTAGTGGAACTAGGGGAGGCATCCTAATGTTGTGGGATAGTAAAATTTGGGGAAAAAGGGGAGGTGGTGGAAACTGGTTCTTATACTCTGACTTGTAGTTTGAAGTCAAGAGCCAAAGATTTCAAAAGGGCGCATTACAGGGGTTTATGCTCCAAACTGTAATAAGAAAAGACAACGTTTTGTGGTAGATTGGGGCTGCAAGGGGCCTGTTTTCAGGGCCATGGGTGGTAGGGGGAGATTTTAACATTGTCAGATTTTCCTCAGAGAAGAGGGAATATGCCAGAAGTTCTAAATGCATGACTGAATTTTTTTGATTTTGTTGAAGATGTAGAGATGATTGATCCTAAAGCTGGAAGGTGGAAGCTACACTTGGTCCAGATGGAAACCTCCTCTAGAATTGTTAGATTTCTTAACTCCACATAATGGAGTGAGATGTTTAGCAATATCAAACAATAGATTCTTCCAAGAATATGCTTTGATCACACTTCGAGTGCATACCAAGTCTTACTTTAAATTTGAAAGTTGGTGGCTGGGTACTGGCGAATTTAAAGAGAGAGTAAAGGAAAGATGGACTACTTTTGACATTGAAGGAAGGCATTATTATTATTTAGACTAAAGCTTTGTAAGTTGAAAGATTGGAGCTCAAATACTTATGGAAACTTGGAGAAGAGTAGAATTTGATACCAAGTCAAATTGTAGGTCTGGATAGTATTTGTGAAATTAGGTCTTAGACCTAACTCATACCCCAAAAGCTAGCTCAAAGGGAGGAGGATTGTCTAAGCCTTATAAGGAGTCGACCCATCTCATTAACCACCAATGTGGGACTTTTGTCATTCTTTAACACCCACGTGACCCCCAGTGCTTAGCACCTGGTGCGTGGACAATTTTGATTTTTGGGGTCCCAACATTGGGTGAGATGGGCCCTGCTCTGATACCATGTGAAATTAGGTCTTAGGCCTAACTCACACTAATTTTGAAAACATTTTATTAGAACAAAACACACTTTTTTTTTCCAGAAGAAATAGAAGAAGAATGCCATATCTGTCAGAACCTCACCTTACTATCGATAAAACGGTTCTCAAAATCAAATTTACAACGAAAAAAGAAAAAAAAGAATTAAAATCCAATGATTTTTTTAAAAAAAAAAGGAAGAATAACCAAAAAAGGGTGGGAGGGTTGGGGAGGCAAAAAGGACGGAAGTAAGGCTGATGGGGTAGGAGTGGAGTGGTAGAAAATAGGTAATCTTATTTATTTATTTTTGTTGAAAATTAGTTGTTTTTTTATAATTTATTTTAAAATTATTATTTTTACTCAAATGCCACATGTCAACTTTTAATTAGTTATCATGTCATGTCATCCACAAGTGTATTACACACACTTTGTAATTTCAGCTGATTGTCAAAAAAGAGTCAAAATGACACAGCGGGGCCCTACTTGAGGTGTTTAAAATGAACAAAGTCTACTTGAGGTGTCTAAGTGAAAATTGGTGCCAACTTTAAGTGGCTGCTGATGGGTTCGGAAAGAGGAAAAAGGGAATCTATTTGTGTTCAAGATGCTAATTATGTGAACAAAATGCAAAGGCAATTAGCCATCTCTTTCTACATTGCAAAGTGATTAATCAGTTATGTTTATCAATTTCAGAGGTATAAGATGGGCAATGATAAACTGGAAAATAGAGGGGGATGGCAACACAAACAAAGTCAGATGGAAAATTGCCCTTGCATCAATATGTAGATAAGAAAAGGAATAGGTGTTTTGAAGATATTTGTAGCCCTTCAAGAAGGATTTAAATGAATTGTATTCTTACTCTTTGCTATTGGTGCAATTCAGAGTATATAGATGACCCAATTTTTGTAATTGACATCTTAGGTTCCTAGTTTTGAAATTAATGTTTTGCGCCTTTGAGCCCGCATAGAGCCTTTAATTATACCTTCGCCGAAAATCTGATTGTTGCAAAGCCGCTTCTCTATGGTACCCGTTGTTGCTTCCCTCATAAGATGGAAGGGTTTTTGCAGAAATATTTCCTTTGAGGTTGGGGATGGATGCATGATTAGTTTCTGGGCTCATACGTGGCGTGGGGAGAGCATGCTGTGAGAAGTCTTTCCTAATTTATATCGTGCATCTTAGCAGCTTCGAATTCTGCTGTGCCAGTGCACAAACCAAACACACAAGGACTGCGTAAATCTTTGGTCTGTCTATCATAGCCATGTTGGGATGACTCCTTTTTAGGCAAGAAAACCACTAGTTGAATTATTAAACTATTAAGACTAACTGAAAAAAGGGCACTACTCTTCTTCCTCCACTACTGATATTGACAGACCTGTTGATAGGATAGCAGTGACAGTTTAGAGTATACCCGGAGAAAGAAAAAAACCTTTTCAGGATGAGACTATGAACCCTAATGGAGCATGAGAAAGCAGTTGCAACAATGAGAAAAGACAGTCAAACAAATATGTGTCTCACGAGGGGTTATTCACAGGGACTTAAATTCAGAAGGAACCTATAGGATTAGTAGTTGGACGAATTTCACAATCTGATTGAGTTTTTGTATGCGCTAACCACTCCTAATAATTTATCAGATTTATGGAGCTGGTGAGAGAGTGGATATGGATTATTCACTGTTTGCTCTTATTTTAAGAGGTTACTAGTGAGAGGGGAAGGTACTTTCTCCCATGACTCTATTTGGATCCCTAGAGCTTCAAGGAAGGTATGTTTCTTTGTATGGTTGACGGAGAGGGGGTGCGATCTTAACAACAGAAACTGAGGAAGAGGAGGATCACCTATTTTAGTTGGTGCTCTATGTGTAAGAGCACAAGAGAAAATGTCGATCATCTCCTATTGCATTGCAAGGTGGCTATTTGGTTACGGAGGGTGGCCCTCAACTTGTTTAGGATGCAATGGGTGATGCCGGACACAATAAAGGAGGCTTTGCAAAGTTGGACTTAGGAGGGAGAAGAGAAGCCCAAGGGCATGGAGTGTTTCCCCTTTAGCAATCATGTGGGTCATTTGGAAAGAGAAAAATGGGAGAGCATTTGAAGGGGTGGAGCAATATTTTGTCAAATTTCAGAGTGTTTTGTGTCTAGTTTCTTTTTGGTGTACTTACGAGGTCCTTATTTGCATAGATGATTGGATCTCTTTTGTTGAGAACCATATTTTTGGTTTTTGGATTCACTGATGTAAATATTACTTTTTGGTTTCCAACACGTTTGTGTTGATGATCTATCCCGATGGTTACTTTTGTCTTTTGTTCGTCTGCTTGATAACAAAATCATTCCAGTAATTCTTTTTTCACTTATTATCTTTCTCTTTTCCCTATATGTGGTTAGCTTCTCTGATGCTTGCAGGATAAAATTAATTGTTCGAGTAAGAGGAACTGTAAAGCGTGAAAGCACATTTCCTTGGGCAGCAAGGATCCTGTATTATCGATTTCAGTGTATCTAAATATATGTTTCTGAGCTTTCTTTCATGTCCAACCTTGAGGACTAGCGTAACATGAACGAGCTCTAACTTTTAGCTTTCAACCCTTAGCTTCCTTTCCAGAACTAGGAAAAACTACAGCCTGTAGGGTTATGTCTGCCTCTAATACCACATCCTAGGCAATAGGCATAAAGTTTTCAGAAACAAAAGAACTATGGAATTCTCTTTCAGTGTATCTAATATATGGTTCTGAGCTTTCTTTCACATCCAAGATTTAGGACTAGCAATTAGAATAGTATGAATAATTGCTTGATATTAGTGGCTTTTGGATTTTCACCACTTAGCTTCTTTACCAGAGCTGGAAAAACAGGGTTATGCCTTCCCCTGTACCACACCCCAAGGGCAGATTATTACAACAATCACTACATCTCAATGCCAAGCAAGTTGTGGGTTGCCTATGTGAATCCTCACTGTCCATATCGATCCATTTAAGCCCATCTGGGTCTAGGCGTACACTTTTCCAAAGTTCAACCTAATCCAAACACTGACGATAAATACTTAGGAAGCTACAGAACTCTGGATCCTTTTTCTGTTAATTCTTGTTATAAGTTTTTGGTTGCTGACCCACAGAGTACTAACTCATGGCCTTAGAAGAACATATGAAGACTAAAGCCACCACTTAAAGTGGCTTATTTTGTGTGGGTAGTTACAAGAAAAACATGCTTGAAACAGGATAACCTCCAGAAAAGAGGTTTCAAGTTTGAAATAGGTGCCATCTTTTTGGAACAAATCTAGAAACCATTAACCTTTTTTTCCACTGCACTATTGTTTCATAAATATGAAATTTATTTCTGAAAATGCTGTGAATTGAACGGACAATGCCTGAAGATACAACTGATTTGATGAGAAGCCGAGAAAGAAGGGGGATGTCAAAAGAACAGCAGAAATGGTGGAGAACTATTCTAACCTTATATGGTGGCTATTTTGAAAGAGTCAAAGAGAGAAATGTGAGATGCTTTCAAGATACAACCTACTATAAATAGAAGATAAAAAAAACATTTGTATACTTTTGTTTTCTTCTTGGTCGAAAGAGGAATTAATTAGTGATGCAGAATCGCTACTAGACACACTTGAATACATGCTAATTTGATGAGAAGCTGGATCATTCTGTAAATATTTCAAGCACAATTCATCGGACATTTTAATGCTTACCATTTTGTCAACAAATAATATTATGGAATTCAGTTGCTAAATTCTCAGGAGTCCCTATTATGTGAACTTTCCTCATTGACCCTAAAGTTAAATAGTATATTCCGTATTTCTTATACGTGTTTAAGACTAAGTAAAACTGTCAATTTAAGTAAGTTGTATAATCCCACAAGTAGGGTTTGGGGAGGGTAGGATGTACGTAGACCTTACCTCTACCTTTATGGGGTAGAAAGGTTGTTTCCGATAGACCCTCGGCTCTAAGCTTGCTTACCTAGTTGAAATTATTATGAATTTTCATATCAGAAACAGTCTAGAAAGTTATGCATTCCCCATTTCTATTGCCATGTCCCATATACCAGTTGAAGTTTGACCTTGGTCATTGTTGTCTGATTCTAGGAGCAAAAGAAATGTTATTCAAAAAATTTCTTGCGCCGAATTTTTTACTAAACCCAAAATTGTGTGAGAAGTATAGGAAAAAAATATTATTGAATTGTTGTTGTGTCTACATTATTACATTGAGACCCTATTTATAGACACTAGAATACAATCCTTTACCAAGTAGGATACTATTTACTTTTCTTATTTCTATTTGTATTCCTATTCCTATTCTAAATAAGATTGTATAAACCTATTCCTATTCTAATAGGATTGTATAAACCTATTTCTATTATAGTAGGATTGTATAAACATATTCATGTTCTAATACTCCCCCTCAAGCTAGTGCATACAATTCATGTACCTAGCTTGTTACAAATGTAATTAATACGAGGATCGGTGAGGGGCTTGGTGAGATATCTGCAAGTTGATCAGTTGACTTCACAAAATTGACAGTCAATCTCAATGAGCGTGTCTTCTCATTAAATACTGGATTTGATGCATGATGTCATTATGTCAGTCAATGTCAATGTGCTTAATCTTCTCATGAAATACTGAATTTGATGTATAATGCCGATAAAACACAGAGTGATAAAATTACAGTGTTGAACTTCCCCAAACCAAACTTGCAAAGACTGTTTTAGACCATAGAGTGACTCACATAATTGACACACAAAGCTACTAAACTCCCCCGGGCTACAAACTTCTCAAAATCTAGTATAAAATATATGGATCGTGTTGGAATCAATAGATGAGTCGATATTAAACAAGAAAGTCACCGAAAAATTGGCCGGAACATGCTCATACGCCGGAGTATTAGATTTGATGGCTGAGAGTGGTCACAATCTAAGAAATAAAATTATATGGGTAGGGTCAGAATGATGACATGACCCAACTAGAAAATAGAAATTATATAAGAAAGGTCGGATTGACGGCACAACCATATTGAAGAAGAGAAATAATATGGGTAGGGTCGGAATGATGGCACGACCCTACTGAAGAGAAATTATATGGGTAGGGTCGGAATGATGGCACAACCCTACACAATTTAGATTTGAGGAGTCACCGGAAAGACGAATGGAACTATGCAAATCAAATATGAGGAGTCACTGAAAAGACACACGGAGCTATGCAACTCAGATATGAAAAAGTAGTTCGGAAAAATTCACGGTACTACGCAAATTAAATATGAAAAGTAGTTCGGAGGGATGCACGATGCTACGCAAATCAAATATGCAAAAAAAGGTAGTCATCAGAAGGATGTCACGGTGCTACACAAATTAAGTATGAAAAAGTAGTCACCGGAAAGATGGCACGGTGCTACACAAATTAGATATGAGAAAATAATCACATGAAAGGTAGACGGTCACCCAACTTTTGCTAACATAATCATTGGCCAGACGGGCAACATATATGGGTAATAGCCACCTGCCGACAGCGGAAGCTCTTTGATTGTTTACCAAGATCGTAGAGGCTCTGATACCATGTGAGAAATATAGGAAAAGAATATTATTGAATTGTTGTTGTGTCTAGATTATTACATTGAGACCCTATTTATAGACACTAGAATACAATCATTTACCAAGTAGGATACTATTTACTATTCTTATTTCTATTCTAAATAAGATTGTATAAACCTATTCCTATTCTAATAGGATTGTATAAACCTAAACCTATTCATTCTAGTAGGATTATATAAACATATTCATGTTCTAACAGTAACTATATGTTGATTAAGTTTGGGGAAATTGTCTATGCTATATGTATTTTTTCCTATCCTCATCCTAAACAAAACTCTTCCCATTGTTCCAGGTACTTCACTGACTAGTTTATTCTCTGAGAAGCAAAAGGAGTTCGACAATAAGTTTAAGAAAAGCTTTATCCTATCTGATGAGGTATCAAACAATTTATAATCTGTGTCCCAGATTATGCGACAAATTGCACTGAGATTTAATTACCTATTTTAAGTTAAAAAATGAACCGTCAAACGCCTATATGTTCATTATATCAAGCACCAAGATACTGGAACATATTTTCAGTTTTTAACTCTCAAAAACTGTCGCAATTTGTGATAAAGGGAATGATTCTTTTGTGCAAGTTCCTCTGATACCCTTCCCCCAATCTGCACCTGGGATCCAACGGAAGAGCATATGTTATTTTATTCTTCTACATGCAGTTCATGGGATGTGCATGAGTATGAGATATTTTAAACCAAATTTACCTTGTACCACAAATATTTGCAGTACAGACCTAGGTAAGTAACATCATACATGTTATGAATGTGTAATTATTTTAACTGAAACTAACCCATGTTTTACTATTAAATTTGCTGCATGGATCTAGGAAAGTGTGCATACTGAATCAATTCAATGCTCCTAATGCCGTCAATGTAGTTATAAAGTTTTTCTGTTTATATCGATGCAAGTCTAAAGTTCACTATGTAATTTGATCACTTTGGACTGAATTCAATTTCAATCTGTGAATACTCTACAAGTTCTTTCAGATTGTAGAAAAAATATGAATGTCTATCATGCTTCTTATAAAAAAAGGAATGACTATCGAGCTGATGACAAAATCGTACCACTTGTTGTATGCTGCATTACTTGCAGTTGGAAGCCATTTCCTTGTATTAACTTCCATGATGCAACATCTCTCTCTATATATATAATGCAGAACTCTTTATGTCTTATCTTTTCAGCTTGGTTTGGAGCCTGTGACTGTTGGTAAGGCTGCTCTTGGAAACATGTTGGGTGGGATTGGATACTTCTATGGCCAGTCAAAGATTTCACTTCCATCAACCTCCACAGTAAGAGATCCTAGTAGTGATTCCCTGCTATTTTAGAAAACTCGCGACATGTGCCATAACCTAATGACAGTGTTAGATAACTCTATTTTTCTCTTGTATGCAAGAAAATATCTAGAGCTCTGTGATGAAGAGCATATCATCATATCTGAGCCTACAATGTACCAACAAATTAAGTAAGAGCTTTAAAATATGGCCGAATTAGGAAGTTACTCAAGTAACTATACTTTTTCTCTTCTATGCTTGTCAAGAATATTCCGGTAATACTGCATTTAAGAATCACGTTAGTCAGTCTATGATGGGAGGATTTTAGGAATGGTGCTATTAGTGCTTGAGTGATTACAGGGATAATCTGCTGTTTATCTTGACTTGAGACTAAAGTTGACTAGAGGAGAGGATACGTTGCTGAAATCTTGAAAATAAAGAGTTTCAAGAAGAAGTATAGATGAGGACACCTACTAAGTTCATGTTCTCATCTCCAATTGCACACTTCTCGAGGGGCAAAGAGCAGAAAATGTTCTAGTTAAAACTTAAAACTAATTACAAATATATTTCTTCATGCTAAAGTTGAATATCATAACTTTTGACATCAAATGTCACTCACCTTCCCAAAAAGGATGATAAATGGAAGGATTCCGCAAACTGCCATCTAGTCAAGTTGCCATTTGTTTCTTGTTTCCTTGGCTTCAGGAATCTAATGAGGGGGAGCTCACATAAAATTGGCTTCCCTGCATCACCCCAAGTATATGCTTCAAGATTTTGGATGTACTAAGGATTAATTTGCTAAGTTGATAATTGGTGTAACTTTTACTCAAGACTAGTACCTGGTCGCAAAAGTTCTTTGGATGTCCAAAGCACTTCTTGAAGTTATATTATTTTCACTCTTGGAGTCCTTTAGTTGTTTGTTCAATAATCATAACCATTTGGATGTCTAATGAAGTTTTACAATGGCTCCTGACTTGTACAGCCTAATGCTGGAGATAATTCTGCCCTATACTGGCCTGCTGAGCTATATACAGCAGTTCCAAGTCGGCCCTTCTTCCCAAGGGGCTTCCTATGGGACGAAGGTTTTCATCAACTGCTAATTTGGTCAGTGACTTGTTCATTTTTTTATTTGTTTTCTACTGCTTAAAAATAGTATTTTAGCTGGTTTCTAGTCCCTTTGATTTGCACTTATAAGGGAAATCTTGAAACAATCAGGCGTTGGGATGTATACATTAGCTTAGATATCATTGGACATTGGCTAGATCTTATGAATATTGATGGATGGATTCCGCGCGAGCTAATCTTAGGTGCTGAAGCATTGAGGTAATATATGGTGGATCCCATTAAGCTTAGTTAACTAGTTCATAGTTTTTCTTGTAATCCCATCTGAAACTTCTATGTGGTCAACCTTGCAGTAAGGTCCCAGAAGAATTTGTTCTTCAGCATCCAACTAATGGAAACCCACCGACACTGTTTTTGGCCTTGCGAGGTATTTATTTCTCTACCTTTTCTTCGGAACTTTCTTGAGAAGATATCCTTCTCTTATTGGAATAGCTATAGCTGACTACATGTTATTATACTGTCTTGCAAAGTTAGTATTGGTTCATAGTCTGTTTGTTGTTAGTGAGTAGTTAGCTTAGCTTAACAGTTTGTTAGTGGTTAAATATCTCCCATTATTAGTTAGTTAGTTTCTGCTTAGCTGGCACCTACCTTTCCAAAGTCAGTCAGTGGATCGGGTGTGTATATGTAGAGATCTCACAGAAAATGCATTTTAGTTTTCACTTTTCTATTTCTGAAGCTTTTCTCTTTTTCTCTAGTGGCTTCCCAGAATCCTCCATAGCTAGATTGGAGTTTGTTGTTTGCTGCCATTGTTATGGCTTGATATGGTATCAGAGCTTAGGAGATTAAATTGATCATGTTTCTCTCGTTGACTGCTTTAGATCTACTTCTTCTACATTCTTCCCCTAGTTGCAATTTTTCCCTAGTAGCAAAAATAGTTTTCTAGATTTTTAACATTTCTCTTATGAAATTGAGACACTCATCAGATTTCACTTCTCATGACTGAGATTGAGAAAATGATGATTCTGTCATTGATTCTACGAGTCCTCTGTACATGCACCCATCTAATAATCCCGATGGTATGCTAGTTCCTGTTCCATTCAGTGAAATAGGTTATCGATCATGGAGACACAGTGTATTGCGAGCTCTTTCAGTGAAGAGCAAGTTAGGCTTCATCAATGGTGAGTGCGAACGTCCAGCTCATGAGTCCTCCAAGTGTCGACCATGGGAGAAGTGTGACAACATGGTCACTTCTTGGATCTTAAATTCTCCGATGAAAGAGAACGAAGATTGTGTGGAATAAGCTAATAGTGCTGCTGAATTGTGGAAAGAATTGGAGGACTTTTTATGAACGGACCAATGGAGCCAAGCTTTATCAGATTCAAAGGAAATAAATGATCTTTCGCAAGGAGCACTTGACATTACAAGTTATTACACAGAGATGAAGAATCTTTGGAGGGGGGGGGGGGGGGGATAAACACCTT